GAAGGAGCATGAAGGAAGCAGAGCTTGGAAATCAAAAGCAGGGAAAAGACCCATTAAAAAAAAAAATTAAAAAAATCTTCGAAACTCTGAAACTTAACTCACTGCGTGGATCTCACAGTTCTCTCTCCTCCAAAATTCTCTCCATTGTGACCTTGCTTGGGAGAGGACTATTCCCAAAAGTTTTCCATGACCATAGTATTTCCTTTCACTAGGTTGTGCAGTGGTGGTATATGTGGTGATAGGTTACAGGTCTGAAGAGTGTAGGAGGTATTGGACTAGATTAATGATACTACCCATTATAGTGGAAATGGTTGTTTGAAGAAATGTAGAGCAACATTGAAGCCTTAGTGTGGGATACTGAATTGACCCAACATCTCTTTTGAGAGAAGATGTTATGATGCAAGTATTGGACAGAGAGAGAGAATCGGAGGTGTGGTTCTTTTCTTTCAAAGTTATTAAATCATCTAGGTAGGCTGATAGCTTTTTAAGAAAATAATTTAAAAGAATTGAAGAGGGAAAATTAATTTCTAGCTCCAGAAAAAAGAACAAGAAAGCGTGTTCAGCTTCAGTATTCCACAAAGGAAGCAATAAAACCAAAACTAAAAGGTATTTATGAAAAGAACCTTAATCTCTTTTGTATTCAGTTAATTTTAGATTTTCTGAAGTTGTTGCAACAGGGACTATATGGGGACTAAAAAGAAATTTACAGTGAAAATCTCTCCAGCAGCTACCCAACAGTGACACAGTGTCAGAACAAACATTGGCTCATGTCATACCTCCTGTCAGCCTCTGTCTCCGTATGAACACTTCACAGATCTTTTGCATCCTGATGGAATTTAACAGTGTAGGGAGCAGCGAGTTTGTGTCATGTATGTGTAATTGGTTGTTACTTGGCTTCATGTTGATCATGTGAGGTATAGAACTTTTCAGCTTGTCTGGAATAGGTGATACTGGATACTGTGTAAAACCTAGCTCAAGTTCTTTGTATGATTTCCTTGGAGATCAGTTCTGACAAGGCAAACATCTCCTGCAGTGACAACTGGTTCAAAACACCTACTGCTGATCAGAGAGAGTGCCTGAACCTGGGAAGGGACACTTTCGCCTGGACTGAGGGATGCAGGAAAGGCTGCATTGGCATCCTCATCTGTTCAGGCTGGAGGCAGATCTATCCTGATACTAACCCAAGGATAAGCAGGGAGAAATTAGCATTTTTAGATACAATTTCAAGATCTAAGCATGTTAATATGTCTTTGGCTAACAATATTATTATCCTTTTTTTTTTTTTTTGCATATCTTTTCCTTAAGTTCACTATAAATGAAAGTTATGATATTAAAGTGAGGTTAATAATGCAGGAACATGCATTTAGATGTAGTATGTTTTATTTTGACCTACTCATTAGTGTGCATGAAGTAACATAATTAAGTTTAATGAGTAAACGGGATTTAATGGATAGTTAAAAAGCAAGAGCTGGTATACTTAACAGAATAAATAATACAGATTTGTCCTATAATATTTTTAAATTGGTTTTTATTTTTTTTAAATATGTCTGTTTTCTTGGAGAAACATGGGTCTTCAGACTGACTGGGTTAAAATGAAAAAGAAAAAAAATTGTAGTACAGGTAGAAATTTAAAATAAAATTATATTTGAATGCTTCCTCTGAACTCAAGCATGTTGAACATAATATGTGTCACTGGTCCTTTGTTTTCCTTTTTGAACTAAGTTTCAGATAGGCAATTGTATGATAATCTTGTCTTCCTGTAAAAAGAAGCTTGTTAAAATCTGAAAACTAAAATACAAACAACTGTTAAGAACAGAACAATAGGTGTAGGCTGCTTGTGAGGAACTGTAAATGGTAGTTGCTCTTTATTCTCTTGATTTCATATTGATGTTTAGATTGAATTTTTCATAATAATAACTTTTTCAATTTTTTCACGTATGGCCTATGAATAGCATCTTGCTGAAGGTAACAATATTCGTCCATAGAACCACAGAAAAATTAAGTTGGAAAAGACCTCTGGAGGTGGTCAAGTGCAAACTGCTGTTGAAAAGAAGGTCTGCTTTCAGTTGGATTAATTTCCTTGGGACTGTATCCAGCTGAGCTATGAAAGTATTTTAAGAATGCAGGCTCTACAGTCTCTCTTGGTCGCTTGTCCCAGGAATTAACTGTTCTCTTTATAAAATTATTTTTCCTTATGTCCACCTGAAAAGTCTTCCTGTTGTGACTAGTGACCATTGCTTCTCATTCTTTGATGGTTCTCTGCTTAGAAATTTGCTCAGTCTTCTCTGCAGGCCCTCTCTCTTCCTTTGGTTAACTGAAGGCTTCAAGAAGATTCCCTGCCTGAGTCTTCTCTTCAGGATGAGTTAACTCAGCTCTCAGCCTCTCGTGCTCCATAAATACCTGAAGTGCAGGGGCCAAATGGATGGGGCCGGACTCTCTTCAGTAGTACCCAGTGACAGAGGACAAGGGGCAGTGGGCAAAAACTGGAACACTGAAAGTTCCAGACAGACCTAAGGTAAAACTTTTTTATTGTGAGGGTGCCAGAGCCCTGGGACAGGCTGCCCAGAGAGGTTGTGGAGTCTCCATCTCTGGAGATGTTCAAAACCCACCTGTTCGCTTTCCTGTGCAACCTGTTGTAGGGAACCTGCTTTGTCAGGGAAGTTGGACTAGATGATCTCCAGAGGTCACTTCCAACTCCTACAATTCTGTGATTCCGAGATTCTGTGAATGCTGGAGAATCTGGAAATAAAATCTCTGGGCTAGTGAATTTACTAAGAGACTCCAAATATCTGTAAGCTGAGCAAGTAATTGCCATTAAATCTCTGCAGAGATAATGTAGCTTGGAATAAGATCTTACTGTAACAATTTATGCTTGTTAAGATTCCCAGAAGCTGTAGGACACGGCAGAATTTATGCAGAAAATATATTCCGTTTATAATCACCAGAGAATTAACAGATACGTGCTGAATGAGCATTTTTATTATTGGTCCAGGCCCAAATGCTGTGTTTGTAGGAAGTCAATAATGGGAAAACTTAGATGAAGGGAAAAATTGCCTATAATTTTCATCCTTCAAAGCTACTAATAAGAACTTTTGTTAAAACAATCTCATTGCAGCTGAGGACAAAAGAATCTGAAGTGCCGTCTGGCCTACCTGGTGGTTTTTCATGTGGAATATAAAGATGAGTTGATAGGTACTGTATGGACACAGAAGCTTAATTCGTTGAGAGGAACGAACATATTTTGTCTGTGTGGCAGTAAAGTAATACTTCTAACCATATGTCTCCTTTTGTAATTTTCCTGCTGCTCAACACTCTCATTTAAAAATTGATTTAAGTTTTGAAAATTTTGCTTTCTCCACCAGATTAAGTTACCATGCAAGCTCAGGTTGCTTTCTGGAGGAAAAACGTCAGCAGTGGCATCTCTGAATTATATAAAGGAGATTCTCAGTTAAGATGTAGAATGTATTTTAATTGAAGATGAATTAAAATTTTGAAATGCCTCCAAATGTGCACCTTTTTTGAGATCTCTTTGTTCGCAAGTATAAAATTACTTCTTCAGGCTTTCAAATGTAGGAGAAATGCAACAGTGTGGGATGGTTTGACAGTGGTCATACTAAATGATGAGTCAGGAAGTGACTACCAGTGGATGACCAGGGAAAGGGAGTGATTGCCCTATAGAAAGTAATATGGCAGCAATTCAAATATGCTTGTTTGTTTGCTAATTAGTGGATGAAATCTGATTTTTTCATAAATTCGGTTAAATTGAAAACAGTAAATATTCAGTCATTTAAGAATCAGTTTTGTATGACTGACAGCAGCTTTTACAGAGCAACTCTGTTTTGTTTGTATCAGATTTGACATAAGTGTTAACCAGAGATGACGAGCTTGTTTAATTACAGTGCCTTACTGATAGTCAAATATAACCTGGATGTCTACTGAAAGATAAGATGAATTGTGGTCTTTGTTCCACTGACTGAGATATATCGACTAGATTTTCATTGCCTGTCTTCATTACAGAAACTTAAGACGTTTCACTTATATGTAGACATACAACATTAGGTGTCTTAATCTTGAACTATATCGCATATTGACTATTGGAGAGGAATGTACAGCTCTCCTGAAAGAGAGGGGAAGTATGCTTGTCTAGGAGCATCCATGTACCTCCAGTTTGTGTTTTAATGAAGATGTAAAAGGATCTGTTATGCTGACGAAATTCAAGGTGGGAAGAGCAGCACGTGAGCTTGTTACTTGGTTTTCCTGCCTTGGAAATTTTGTCTTGGTGGCTAAAGATTTAAGTTGGAACTTACTAAGTGTATTTTTCTGTCTTCTATATAGCAGATGTAAAAGTCGATCTCTCCAGCAAACTGCATGCAGTAATGGTTGTAATGCCTGTATCTTCACTTTGAAGTGATGGCAAGTCCAGCAAGGTTGCTTGGCTATATTTCAGGCTCAAAGCACCCACACTGCGTTTAGGAAAAGTGGTGCTTAGTGTGCCTGGCCCTATCTCAGAAATGAAAAATGAAAAAGAGCATGAGTCTGTATTCTGGTAGTCATGGACTCAAGCTTCCCTGCTGGGGAGAGCTGAGGCTGACTGCTGAGCACAGGAGACTGACAGTGCAGAAATGCCTAATAAAAATAAGAGAATTACCCTTGGATTCAGAACAATTCTGTTACCAGAAAAAATAATGTTACTTATATTGCCTATGTATTTTCATACAAACACCATAGGTTTCTCTTGTCAGTTTTTCTAACCTATAAATATTGCTTTATATTTCCACACTGATGCTGTTTTACAACCAAGATAGGTACTTTTCGGTAACTGAACATTTCTATTGGGTGTGTAAAACATTGTGATCTTCCAGGCTCTAAAACATTGTTGTAGAGTAAATTTATTTATTAGTAAAATCACTGAAATTTTTGAAATTGGCTTTGAAAGGTGGGGAGAAAAGTAATTTTACTGTGGGAACATAAAAAGTAATTGATTCTCATTCTATTTCCAGGTACTGCCATTGGAAAACAGAATGAAAGACACCACGCGTTTCCCACTGGCACTGAACATTGGCATGGGAATAGTCATGACCTTGTATATCTCACTAGCCACTCTAGGCTATCTGCGCTTTGGGGATGAAATCAAAGGCAGCATAACTTTAAACCTACCACAAGATATATGGTAAGTGCATATGTGACTTAAAACTAGTAATCTAGAAGGCAAAAACATTGCAAAGGAAATGCTTATAACTGATAGGTGCTTAAACTCTGCTAGAAGTACACTGTCTATACTGTCTCTGTACCTTCTACAGTTGAACTATGGTCCAAGCCAGCAATTTCTTGCCTATTAAAACAAATTGCATATGCAAGCAGATCAATGATCTTCATAGGAAGGTATTCCATCTCTGGCAGGAGCTAGTTCCAGGTGTATTGAAGGAGGAAATATGCAGTTTGCAACCAGCTATATTGCAGTTCTGAAATCAGCTAGTTTTACCTTGGGTATCCTGGTAACATACTGGCCTTTTTAGTGCAGTCACTGATTTTAGCAGGTAAACAACTGGAAAAGAAGACATCAATTTTTTATTTAGCATTTTTTTTTAATGCTACAAGAGCTCCACATGTGGAGCGCTGAAGAAGCGCTGAAGACTATTTCAGCTTGTTAGTTCTTTGTCTATCTATGGATGGATAGATACTGTAATTATTAATTTAAATATAAGTCTTATTTTTTTTTTTTTTTCATACCTGGGTACCTGATGGGCCTAAGATTAGGTATATTAGCAGTGCACAAGTGTAGAAGCTGAAAAGTATTTTAATTTCATTCTGATCATGTAATATCTTACATGTTATACACTTGCATCTACTTGTTTGATGTCTTTTGTGGCAGCATATTGAAGTAGTGAAATCTCAAATTATGTGAAACAAAAACTGCTTTGCTTAATTGCTGAACTGAATGCTGACTCCTTTTTTACTCTTTGAAAAGAGTTTTCAAATAGCTCTTGGCTACAGTGCAGGTGTGATATAAGATGATATTTATCCTAATGACTTTACAGACCTAAAACAAAGAGATAATAAGAAAAATGGAAACTGATGCTCTATAAGGTGGAGAATTGGCACTGTAAGTTTAATAACGTCAGAGCTGCTCAGGGCACATATGTAGCAATAACAAAGTCGTCTGTTTCCGTCTTACTCTGGATAATACCCCAGAGCACCAAACAAAATTAGGAAGAGAAGCAGCTCAGTGGTATGCCTGCCCATGGGTTGTGATGTGCAATGCTATCACTGTGCAGTACTGTGGGTCTACCTGATTCAGTACTGATGAGCAAGTGTGTGCAATTACCGGTGCTAGCAAAACAAATTTCCAGTGAACCATATGACAAAACTTTGTTATTTGGTCCTCACTTAAAAAAACAGTAATTGGCTGGATTGAACGAGAGAAATGCAAGGAGTGGTAAGTTTTTATAAGCAAGTGATCATGCGAAAGAGCCTGGAATGTAACTAAGCAGTGAGACTTGGCTTATGTGTCTACTCCCATTCTATGGCATCTTATAGAATCATAGACTGTTTTGAATTGGAAGGGAACTTTAAAGGTCATCTAGTCCAGCCTCCTTGCCATGGGCAGGGACATCTTGCACTACATCATGTTGCTCAAAGCCCTGTCCAACCTCTTCTTGAACACTTGCAATAAGGGGGCATCTACAACTCCTGTTGGCAACCTGTTCCGGTGTCTCACCACCCTCATTGTAAAAATAATTCTTCTTTGTTCTTGATTGGGATCTCATCTTCTTTAGGCCAAAGGTTCTTTCCACTGTTCATCATTAAAATATATATGATAGTCTTTGTGCAACAACTCGTTTACTATGAATCCCAAAGATTAACTACCATACAAAATATCACAGCATGTTCCAAGTTCAACAAGAGGTTACACGGTACTAGTTCAAGTGGAGGCTTTGCATTAACTAATGCTTTATTGCCCCTAGCTGTATTGATATACAAGTTGTGTTACACTAGTTCTCAATTTTTCCTTTTGTAAGGAGGTACAACAAAATATAAAATGGAGATTGAAGAGAGGCAGACTTTTGTAGTCTTCTAGCACATATGAATGATTTTGAAGATTTTTAAAAGGTAGCTTAAGGAGCCATCTTTATCCAATTGGAATATAATAGCAAAGTACTAGTAAAATCACTTTAATATAAAAAATTATTTCCTAATTTGAAAAATTTGAATCACTGTAGAGCTATAAAAATAGTGTAATGGAGATACTTTGAACTACTGTGTAATTAAAGCTTTGAATCCTGTTTTTGAAACACTTTTTAAAATTAAAAAAAGACTTAAGTTCAAGATTTAAAATTTTGTAAAGTTTTGGGATGATCTGAAGCCTGACAATTAAAGGCTCATTGAAGGTGGCTGGTCAGATTTTCATTTTGTTAACCAGCTAAAATCCATCTAAGCTTATGGAATCTGGACAGTGATGCAGAACAAATGAAAATGTGACAGGTTGCCCAGAGAAGTTGTGGATTCCCCCTCCCTGGATGAGGCTTTGAGCAACCTGGTCTAGAGGAAGATGTCCCTGCCCATGGCAGGGGGGTTGGAACTGGATGATCTTTAAGGTCCTTTCTGACCCAAACCATTCGATGATTATGTCCCCATGTAAAATGATGTAATAGTTTTTCTGTCACTTTGAGTTTGCCTTTGGGGCTTTATTGAGCTCTACAGTGTACAGTGAGAGCCAGATGTTTGGTACAGATAATTTTGGACCTGTTAATCAAAGCACATTTTTCTTTTTTCTGCATATGTACACTTTAAATTTATTCTGTATATTTGTTTAGGTTATAAAGAAGATTTTTTTTTTTTTTTTTTTTGTTAGCAGTCTTTTGGTATCATCAAAAATGGAAAACTTGGTCTTGCTGATGTGAGATGCGAAGCACATGAAAATGGAATATTCATGTTCCCCAGCTGTATTCCTCTGCTCCAAACCACTCCAGTGTACCAAAACCATTACTGCTTGGGAAGGAGCTGAGCTGTATAGATACAGATTTTGCCATGCCATGCCATTTGGCCTTAGGACAAGGGGGCAAAAGCATTCCTGGCCTGATTTTATTTACTAATACAGATATGGGCTATGATACCGAAAGGGTAACTTTGAGTGACCGCCACCAGGCTCTGAGAGATATGGAGACAAGGGTCAAATTTGTTTTTTCCCTACTCTTGCCACTGGTTTTTCTTTTCTTACTGTTACAAGTTGCCTTTGCTTTCTGGTTGCATTTGAACCTTTTCTTGAGGACTGAAACAAAAGAAGTATTCAGTGCTTTGGTCTGCTCAACATCATCTTCTGTTATCAAAAGTTATGAGAAATATTTCCTCTCTCATTTGTGAACATGCGACACCCCATGGCAAATGAACCAAAACTTTATGCAAAAGCTTTCATCATGTTCTTAGTTGCACTCTTAGAAATAAAATAATACCAAGAGATTCATAACTTCTGTCAGCTGTAAGCAGAACTAGGACAAATGCTTGTAGTTTATGCAGCATGGTTTAAGAATGTATCTAAACTTAACGGTGATAGCATGGATAATACTGTGTTTCTTGTTTATTCACCCGAAATAAAGGTGGTAAAAGTGTCCACACTTCACATTTGTTGCAAGATTTACTCTGGCTTTTTGAGAACTTAACAAAGGTTTTCAAAATAATTTTTGTAAGACCTTTTCTTGAAGTAGATCTGCAGACATTTTGTTTAGAAAAAGACAGAGAATTATGAAAACCTTCAAACAGATTATGAAAGAAAAAATGATAATCCTACAGCCATATAGCAACAGATTTCAGTGTGTTAAGTGAATTGAAAGTATGACCATGATATCTAAAAAACCTTAGCTATCTTGAAAAAAAAAAAGGTATTCGTTAGTTAAAATTTGGCAAGATGCTGCCAATATATGGTTATTTTCCAATATATGTAAGGAAGCAAGATGCATAAGTCCATGCAAAGTTATAGTGAAGTTAAGCTGCCAACCCATTCAGGCATTTTTTTTCTTCTAAAAAAAAAAATCTTCCCTTATTTTATACCTAAGCCTGATCCAAAGTCAGTTAATATTTTTGGAACTGTAAAGAGTATTTTGAACTAGTTTAGGCAGAAAGAAGTTAAATGTAGCTGAGATTTTATATTGTTACAAAGAAACTGTCCACTGTGTTGCATTTTCTGAACATTTTTATTTATACTTTGGTGACATGCAGGGTGGAATAACACTAGAATAGAAAGAGATTAATGAGAATAGAAATTCTTCCCTCTTCATAAAATGTAGTTTGTGCCTTTTACCAATCTGTGCAGAGATTATTTTGCTTTTATGTAACTGAATTCTTGGAGTGGTGCAAGACAAAAACTTGTCTTTGTCTGGCAGAGAATTTAAAAACATTCTAAAGTAGCTTTTCAACAACATACACAGTCTCTTAAAAAAGCTCCACATTATCTTGATCCCTAAAATGTTTGTCTAGTTACAGCAGCAACTCTATTCCTGTGTAGTATGAAAGACATTCCTGCATCAAAATGAACTCACTTCTACATGAGCATGCCTTCTTTTCCCAATTTCTTTTTTTTAGCAATGCCAGTCCATCACTGGCATAAGGTTGGCGGAATTTGGAGCTGTAAAACTTGGTACTCCTTTGTGTTTGCTTTATGGTTGTTCTCAATGATCTTAAAGATCTTTTCCAACCAAAATGATTCTATGATCCTACTACTTAAGGACTCTCTAAATCACATTCTGGCTCAAAGCAAGCCTGTATGCACTGAACTGCAGTTTATGGAGAGACTGGGATGCTGGAGAGTATGTGGTAGCATTGGATTCTCTTTATTTTCCCCCACTGTGGAGCTGGGACAGAGTCACTGAACAATCTTAGGTCTGAGGTCTTGGAAGCTCTAAATACAGCTTTGTGGGATTTGAACTGATCTTTAGTTTTGTGGAGGCTGACCTAGTGGTGATTTAGTTGTGTTGTCTAATGTGCGGGGAGTTCTCAGAGTAAGTAGAAAAATGCTGGCATTGCACATGTCAGAAACAAAATTTGAACCTCTTGCTCTGAAAAACCAAATAATCTGTCTACATCTTACTTCTGTTTGGAGGGAGTTGTTATATTTACTGTGTGTTTTTTGATGTACAAGTTTAGAAAAAAGCCACCATTGTTAACCAAAAATAGTCTTAGGGAAAAAAATTATAGTCACTTTATCAGTCTTCTTAGTTAGTGATCTAACAACGGTGGGGATTTTTGTAAACCTTGATCTGAAGGAGGAAAAAAAGCACTGAACAGTTTGTGTTTTAATAGACCTTAAAACTTGTTAAATACTCTGAATTTACATAGGAGGTAAGGAATCTGGATCTAATGAAAAATGTGAGGGTTTGCTTGCTTGCTTAGCCATTAATGAATTCTCAAATGTCAGATGATAAAAATTCTTTAAAATAAAAAAAAAAAAATAATTAGCAAGCTAGGTTATTTAATACAGAGTTTGCAACTGACATGAACATATGTAAATGTTTTGAACAGGTTGTATCAGTCTGTAAAAATTCTGTACTCCTTTGGGATTTTTGTGACCTATTCGATTCAGTTCTACGTCCCTGCGGAGATCCTCATTCCAGCTGTCACCTCCAAAGTGAAGCAGGAGTGGCAGTTACTCTGTGAGCTTGTGACGAGAGCACTATTAGTCTGCTCAACCTGTAAGTATGGGTAGAACATCCATAAAAAAGCTTGCTGTTACACGTTATTGAGCCCTGCTTATTTAAATGTTTTATTTTTCTAGAGCCTAGCAAACCTGATGATTTAATGATTCGGTACATTTTGATTTTCATGAACACGTGAATCTAATGTTGTGTCTGTATTTTAACCACACCGTTTTTAGTAATGTGACTGATTATTTGACAACCTTATCTTTTGCCAATAATACTCTGCCAACTTGAAAATAGTTTTCTTAGAATAAAAGCTTGTAAGTACTAGATACACACTGCTGTTCATGTCAGCTTTTCGGTCTGTGATCTGCAGTACATGCCGCTTGTGGAGAAATCCTTTTTCTGTTTTGTTGGTCTGAGGATTAAGCTTAAGGTGTGCAGCTGCATATTCATAAAAGAGCACTGGCAAACACAGATGCCTGGTTAGAGTGTTCATGGAGGCCCTCTTATTTTAGGTGATAATGCTACAAAGTAGTTTTGTAACTCTGCCCTCGGTGTCTGTTACTACTTTTGTTTTTCTCACTTGTCCCCTACTCTTCCCATCCCTCCTACCGTGTCCCCGCCTTTCTCACAGCTAATCTATGTACCACAGACACTAGTAATAAGTGCTCACTGAATGGTGAACATGGTCTCATCTAGGAATTGATAATCCTGGAAGTCATGAAATGAGGAGGAAGTTTAGGTTCCCTGCTGCTCCCATCAAAAATGTTCAATAGCATGGAAAGCTTCTCTTAAAAAGTTGTTAAAAAAATGTTTCCAGTACAAAGCTGGCTTCTTGACTCCGTCATTTGTACTGAAATGAGCTGTTCACCTTAGAAGTAATCTAAACTGCCAAACAGGCAAAAAATACTGGACCTTGTTTTTTAGGGGGGAAAATATTAATGGAAAGTAGAGTTTAGTTTTTATTGGCTCTGTTCTCTTGGCGAGTACTGACCCAGTGGCTAAGGTGCTGGATGGCAGCTAATAATTGTCTGTTGTCAAAGAGAACTTGAATTTCCAGTGAGACCTTCTTAAGGTCAAGCCTGTTGAGAGAAACACTTTAATGTTGGTACAATAAGATGTGAAAAGCTTTCTTGAATAATGAAGTTGAAATCACCTGGAACACTGTATACTCTGTCTTCTGCTTCAAGTTCATGTTGCATAGTGAACCTTTTAAGATTTTAAGATTGAGGGTAGATGAATAGCTCTTGTAATTCCTGAGAGGCATCTAGATTAAAATGCTTCAGGATCCAAAATGCTTTTCAGCATCTCTTTAGGACCCCATTAAACCGTCGGGTCTTAACCATATGTTGGTGTCATGAGGCCCTCAACTTCCACTGATTCTCTCTTGTGCTTTATGTGCCCCTTCTAACCTGCCTGGTAACAACACCACAAGACATTTGAAAAGCTAGAATTCTTGTAGATCCAAACTGTTTTTTACAGCTGAAGGCTTTGAGAGTTTATACGTGAAAAAGATGCTTTCAGATGTATCTAAGAAGAACCTGTGGTGAGCAGGTTTAAAAACACATTTGCCTGTTGGACTTCAGAAAATTATAAATGACTCCATGGTATTCAGCCCTAGGTGTATTTGTTTTTTTTTTCTGTCTTATTATAGAGCTTTGTAATTACTGGGTAGTCTGGGAAGGCAAACTGGGGAACAATCTGCAAGAAAAGGAAGTAAAAAAAGAAAGAGAATTAACTTTAAATTCTGGAAGAGGAGTCTAAAGTGTAAAAAAAACCCAAACCAACCAACCAAACAAAAAAAACAAATCAGCGGCAGGGTACCTTGTGAGTGGGACTTGAAAATGGAGCAGTTATCATTTAACTACATTAGGGTGAATTGGGATGGGAAGAATTGAATCCAGCATGAATTGTGATGGGTCCCTTTTTCCCAGAGGTATGTTGACATGCCTTCTTTCTTCTTTTTGTTTTCATGCAATTGTGCATTGTGATTTTTTCAGATCTTTTTTAATTATAAAACAAAAGCTAATGGTCTTTCATTTCTGAAGGCATAATAAATAGTTTTAAATGATTCAGTATAAAGTGAATGCTGTATCTTTATTTCTTTTAAAAAAGTGTATGTAGTAGAGTTGGACCTGGTTTGTGCTACTGAAACTTATCTGTGGTGTGAATCTCTAAAATGGATCTGCTGAAGTGTTACAGGTGTTATGGCGATATTTTAGAGTATTAAATTGTTTGCTGCAAGGCACAGAAAAGTAAAATCAAAAGTTTACTCTTAAATGTTTGATATTTGCCAGGCTGTTGTGTGATATCTTGTATTTATTGTAGTTGTCATTCAGGGGGTTTTTTGAGTGGTTTCTACAAATTTCACGCATGCAGTATCTGTCATACATTTTCACCAGCAATTGTGTATGTAAGCTCTCGTGCTTACACTCATCTTCTGTTTGTCATTTTTCATTGAAGCATTGGTTATAAACAGAACTGGTTGAAATAATGCTTTGCTTTCACTAAGTGCAGAACATGGTTCCTAAAATAATTCAGAAAGTGGGTTTTTTTAATAGCAAGAAAAAGTCCAAAACCCTTTAAATTCATTTTTAAAAATGGAATAGTTTTGATGTCAGTGACAGAACATGTTGTAATGCCTGGACCATTCAGAGGTCATACACTGATTTGCTTGAAAATAATTCTCTGAAAGGGGAAGCTTCAGCTATGTTGCTAATAATGCATTAGCTTTTTAAGAGAAGACTTGAAAAATCAGTTATGACTAATTTGTAGGGCTTTTGCATTACTCCACTAAAAATTAGGTCAATGTTTTATCATTGCAGTACATCAGAAACTTTGCTGGGGAAAAGCATACCCTGGAGTGTTTTTTTTTTTTTTTTTTTTTTTTTGTCTGGTAAGGTTTGTTTTAAGGATGGACTTGACAAATGATGAGGTGTAACATGCATCCAAAAAAACCATATGCGTTGCTTAGGGTTTTTCATTATTTACTTGCTCACTTTTGGACACTTAGCATTGCAGGAGGATGATCACAATATTTTCAGATTTATGCTTCCTCTACTGGTGTTTCACAAAAGACTCTTTATCCGAAGCATGCTATGAAAAATACACATGACCCATAACAGCATCAATCTGCACCAAACCTTCAAGCTTAGGGCAGGGGAGGAGCGTACCCAGATGGGCAAGAAGGGCATGGCTGGGCTGGGTGGTTGTTGCTCTGGAAGTAGGCCAGTCTTGACTCACTGAGCAGTTCCCAAGGAGCAGTGAGATCACCTGAACTCTTTTTCTAGACAGAATTGGTAGTTAAAGCTGTTCAAAAGATTGGCTTTTGCCATATAGGAAATGAAGTTACTAACAGATTTAAGAACAGTGTTGTCAGTAGCTGTCTGAAATTTCACTTCTGTTTTTAGCAGCTTTTTCAAGACTCTGACATGCTATTATTCAAGGTAAAAGCAAATGCTAAGGAGTGTTTTTACTGGGAGAATGTTAGACTGGCAAAAGTATGCTTTGCCTTTGTACTTGTTTGTACTTTTTGAACAAGGAAACAGTGAGTGCAAATTACTTGACAGACCTTGTTCCCTACTGCTATTTCCATTCTTCCAATTCAATTTAGTGTTAAAATAACATCTTAGTATTGCATGGGTAAAAAAGCATGTCAGATACTTCTGAATTTTAAGAAAAAAGGAGGGAGAGGGGGAGTTTCTGCTTCATTTGGTATTGAACACACCTCTCCATTTCATTTGCAAGAGAAATACATCTCTTAATCTTTGCTTGGATTTCACTGTGTATGGTGTAGCACATTGGAAGATCGCACCATACTTCATAAATTATAACACTAAGCTGTTGTTTTACAAACTCAGATGAGTACCTTGTGTGCTGACTGGAGGGATGAGCTAGGCCTGTGTTGAAGGTCCAGACTACAGGTAGAGACTGGGTTTGGCAGTTGTTGAAAGCAGGTGGGAGCTAGTCTTGTAGCTAGCTAGGCAGAAATATGATTGAAAGCTGGACTGAGCATCACTGTGAGGGGCAAAGTTAGAAATTAGGAACACATACAAGCAAAAGGACTGGGATGAGAGCCACCATAGGAGTTGGAAAGCGCAGAGAACAGATATGGAGGAGCAGTGTTGTGTGGATACTTTACTGGCTTCCATCAGGTCGTGCTCGGAAGTTCATCACTACAGGAGTCCTCCAGGTTCATGCCTAAGAACCTCCAGCAGCTGCCTGCATTGCAACTTCTGCCTTATGACTTGCCAGCCTTGTCCTTTGGTGGGTCAGTTCAGCTCATCCTAATAGTTGCAGACACTCCTTGTAAGACATAAAGGGACAGAAAATCTATCTGTTAGTGCTCAGATAGTGCAACCACAGCCTTGTGGTTTCAGTAGGTTCTGTTACTGTTGCATATACATTTTTATTTTAAGCGAACATGCTCTTAATTTATTTTTCTCACAGATTTTAATTAGTGTTTGTGATATTTGAATGTCAGATAACTTCAGTACTTTGAAATATTTGTCAAGGTGGAATTTTTATAATGTCGAAAATATTTACCCTTATTTTGTTCTTTAAAATACGGCACAAAAATACTTTGGATATGTTTGCTGCATCTGCTTGGATACAAGTTGAGCACCGTGCCTGTGGTTCAGCCCTTAGCTGAGCCTGTTATGGGGTTGTGGCTACTGCCCATTGCAATTAACCATTTGAGCATGAAGCTTTTTAGTTTGATTGGAAGGAACTGGACTACCTGGCTGAATTAAAAGCTTTGTTAATATCTTTACATAGAACAGTATAAGTTTTATGTTTTGAGAACAAGAAAAAAACCTTCTACCCAAATGAGTCCTGTTTAGTGCATTGCTTGAAGTAAGCTACCATTATATCATGAGAGTTTTTACTCTTCCCTGCTTACCTGTCCCTGAGATCATAGTAATTCTGGAAAGGGAGTGTTTGGAGAGGTTTTGTTGAGCCTAAACAGTTAATTTTCCTGTGTTAACAGCTTCAAGACATGCTAAGCACATGGAGATTGAGAGGAGATCTGGAGATAATCAGCTTCAACTGTC